TCTTTTTTCTTTTCCCCTACCCAGCTATGTGTGTGTGTGGGTTTCTTGCCTTTTGGGAGGTCTGAGGTCTTCCGCCAGCGTTCAGTAGGTGTTCTGTAGGAGTTATTCCACGTGTAGATGTATTTCTGGTCTATCTGTGGGCAGGAAGGTGATCTCTGCGTCTTACTCTTCCGCCATCTTCCCCAGGGCCCAATTTTTTTTTTCCTTTGGTACGCGGGCCTCTCAGTGTTGTGGCCTGTCCCGCCGCGGAGCACAGGCTCCGGACGCGCAGGCTCAGCGGCCATGGCTCCCGGGCCCAGCGGCTCCGCGGCATGTGGGATCTTCCCGGACCGGGGCACGAACCCGTGTCCCCTGCATCGGCAGGCGGACTCTCAACCACTGCACCACCAGGGAAGCCCCCCAGGGCCCAGTTTTTAAGCTTAGTTTTTAAAACCAATTTGTGTGAACATGTTTGACTTTCTGTATGACTTATTTGAGGAAATTCATTTTATAATTTCCTCTCTTATGAATTTGGTTTCTAAGCAATTCATTACTCCTTTCTTTGACCTGTGATCTGATGGTATCTCTGTCTGCTTTGGGGGAGTGTTTCATCGATTCTGAGGGCCAGGAGGAGACTTTGACACGTCAGCCAGGCTAGTGGGGCACCAGCCTCTGGGCTTGGGGCTGGGCAGGGACCACTCCTGTGCTCTCTGTTGGAATCTGTAGCTTTCATTAGTCGGAGAGGAAGCACGGGAATGCTAGAGTTATTAGGAAAAGCAGATGGTTTCCCTTGTCCCCTTGAGGGCTGCAGCTGCTTCATCTCGTCAGCCGGATACAAAGGACACAAGTCAGCGACACAAGGAAATATATTTTACTAAGGAGAGAGGCAGTCACCAGTTGTGTTGCCTCCTGTGCTTTTGCCTTGTGGCTAAGCTCAAGGTGCCACCTCTTTTGTAATTCTGCTGCAGACAGTCCTGGTTGACCCTCAGCAGAGTGAGCAGGGGTGTGGTCATCTCAGAAAGAAGGTTCTGATGGGGGTGGGAGGTGGAGGGTGGTGACGACAAGGGGACCCAGGGAGTGTGGCCCAGCGGGGCTGCGGGGAGCTGCTGAGTGGAAGCGTGCACGCACGTGAATTGGGTTCCCATCGTGGAAAGGCATTGTTGTAGGTGTGGAGGACACAGGTGGGTGGCAGGTGGTCCGCACATGTGCGAGATTCTTCTTGTGGAAATCGGAATAATCACGTGGGTGGCGCTGTAAGGGAGAGTCCCTGTCTGGGGGAGTGAGAGAAAGCTGTGAGCAGAGGTATCCTCTGCCGTGAGCATTCCTGTCGGAGCTCTAAGGACATGCGAAGGCTCGAAGTCCTGGGCATCCAAAATGTATTTGTGAAGTTCAGTGGCAACCTGGTGTGACTTCAGTGTAAGGTGTATCAGAGGGAGGGGTTGGGAAAGGAAGTGGAAATGTGGGTTGGGGTCAGAGAGTACAGAATCTTCTGTGAGTGCTCGTAGGTGTGCATTCTATCTGAAAGGAGTGGGAAACGTTTAAGCAGGGTTGGCACCATCAAATATCTGTTTGGAGAAGCTAACTCCGGTGACGTTGGAGGACAGATTGAAACTGGAGAGAGGCTGGGGGCACGGAGAATTATAAAGGTGTGTGGATGAACGATGCTGAGGGCCTGAACTAGACCATGGTGTTGAGTCGATGTACTGGATTTGAGATAAAATGATGAGTTAGAAGCGACGGGGCTTAGAAAATGGGACAAAAAAAGGAGAGGCTGACTCTGAAGTCTTGAACTTAGGGAACTGGGAGATGCTCGTGGCATGAACAAAAGGAAGGAATTGGGCTGGATTAGCATGAAGACGTGATGCCCATTTATGGAGACCATACTCCACCTCAACCCAGATACAAAGACAGGTCAGCTTCCGGGATCTGAGCCTCCCCTGCTGTGACCACTATGTTAGAGCCACAGAAGACATCAGTCTTTCTGTGCAATGGGTAGGAGGACGTTGTCCAGCAAGGGCTAGTTTTTGTTGTTTTTTCCAATGGAAACTTAGGTTTTAGAGTAAGTTTAGATTTACAGAAAATTGAGAAGAAAATACACCGATTTTCCAGATACAGATGATGGTTCCACTTAGGATTTTTCAACTTAACGATGGTGCAAAAACAATACACATTCAGTAGAAACCATACTTTGAATTTTGAAGTTTGATCTTTTCCCAGGCTAGCGACATGCGATCCAACCCTCTCTCATGATGCTGGGCAGCGGTAGTGAGCCCTGGATCGCAGTCAGCCACGCGATCACGCGGGTCAACAACCAATATGCTTACAACCGTTCTGCACCCAGCCAGCCATTCCGATTTTCCCTTTCAGTACAGTGTTCACTAAATTACATGAGATATTGAACACTTTATTATAAAGTAGGCTTTGTGTTAGATGATTTTGCCCAACTGTAGGCTAATGGAAGTGTTTTGAGCACGTTTAAGGTAGGCTAGGCTCACCTGTGATGTTTGGTAGGTTAGACGCGTTAAATACATTTTTCACTTACAATGTTTTCAACTGAGGAGGGGTTTGTTGGGATGTAACCCCATTGTGAGTCGAGGAAGATCTGACTCGTCGCCTGGTTTCTCCTATTATTAACACCTTAGATTACTGTGATACCTTTGTTCCAATGAATGAACCAGTGTTAATGCATTAGTATTACTAAAATCCATAGTTTATTCAGATTTCCTCAGTTTTTAAAAAAAATCTAATGTCCTTTTTCTGTGCCAGGATCTCACCCAGGACACCACATCATATTTAGTTGTCATGTCTCCTTAGACTCCTCTTGGTTGTGACAGTTTCTCAGGCGTTCCTTATAATTGATGACCTTGAGAGTGTTGAGGAGTATTCATCAAGTGCTTATTCCTCAGGATTTGTATGATGTTTTTCTCATGGTTAGACGGGGTTTATGGATTTGGGGAAGATCAGAGAAGTGAAGCACTATTCCCATCACATCACAGCAAGGGTACATACCATCAACATGACTTACAGCTGTTGACGTTGACCTTGATTACCTGGCTGTGGTGGTGATTGCCAGGTTTCTCCCTTTCCGTATTGTACTCTTCGGAAGGCAGTCACCACGTGCAGCCCATAGTTAAGGAGCGGGGAGTGATGCTCTATTTTTTGAGGGAGGAATATTTACATAAATTATTTGGAATTCTTCTGCACAAGATATTTGTCTCTTCTCCCCCGTTATTAATTTATTCAATGGTTTATTTTATGTCTGTAAGGTTGCATGAATATTTATTTTATAATTTGGGTTATAACCCAGTAGCATTGATACTTTATTCATTTTGTTGCTGGGGTTGCTTTAACTTTGCCCACTGGGGGCTCTTTCAGTTGCTCCAGTGAGGGGTACTTGTGAGGGGTATTTGTAAGGACCATGTTGTGCTGTGCTCTGTGCCAGCAAGAGGGCTGGGAGGCCTGTCACAGGACAGCAGAGGTTGCGAGGTCCCAGAGTCCTGAATGCACAGCAGGGGACTTTGGGTAACTCCATGCAGCAACTGAAAGGTCCTCTACATTCTTAAGTACAAGAGTGACATGACGAATAGTGTGTTGGAAGGTTACTTTGGAAGCTTTATGAATTGCATAGTTTCATTTGTTCATTCATTTAACAAACGCTTATGGAAATTATTCTGCCACCTGCTGGGGAGCGAGGGTGGATCATGATGGGGAAAGAATACTAACATTTACGGAGCACCTACCTGCCTGGTACCTGGTTCTTTACACACTGGATTTCATTAGATTCTCACAGCAACCCAATGAGATAGATACTCTTTTCAATATTTTACAGATAAGAACACTGTCTTCAGAGAGGTTAAGTAACTGGTTTAAGGCCACACAGCTGGTAAGTGGCAAAGCTGAGATTTGAACAGAGATCTGTCTCATTCCACATGAGGTTAGTTAAGAAAGTCACCGATTTTTTGCTACTTCTTTCATTGAGAAGTAGAGTTTAATTTGCCTTCCCTGGAATCTGGACTAGTGGTTTCGACTTTATTCGATTTATCTGAATTGAGCAGAAGTGACATTCTGGAATTTACAAGGCTAGATCAAAAGAATCCTAAAGCTTTCTCCCTGGCCTCTTAGAAAGCATGTTTTTGCAGAAGCCAGCTGCCACGTGGCAAGCCCAGCACTACCCTGAGTCTGCCATGCTGTGAGGTGGCCAGAGCAAACCACAAGGACAGGTCTGCCCAGTTCCCACTTGTTCCAGCCACGTTAGTCCAGGCACCAGAAAGGTGAGCGAGGGTGCCTTCTGATGAGTCCAGGCCCAGCCAGCACCTGACTGCAATTGCATGAGCGACCCTGAGGAAGAACCACCCAGCTGAGCCCAGTCAACCCTCAGAACCATGAGAGAAAATAATACCTAGTTGTTTTAACCCACAGCATTATGGGGTAGTTTGCAGCAATGTGTAACTGGAACACCAGCAAACACAGGTGTTCTTTCTCTGTGCTGTCTACCTTCCACAGTGACAGGGTTCCTCCACTGAGGCAAAGAGCATAGGAGACCATTACATTAAAGTATTGAGGACACTGTAGGGGCCTGACTGGAGCTGGGTGCTTGTGGACAAGCAGAGGCAGAGCTGGCAACCACCTTAAGAGAAGAGCTTGCGTTAGAATATAAAGTAGAATTGCATTAGCGCTCGTTGACGGGAAAGAGAATGAGTTCGTTATCAGATAGTCTTGAGTTGCAATTCTACTTTCTCACTTCCAAGATGTCTGACTTTGGGCAAATTACTTTAACTCTCTAAGCCTCAACTTCCTTGTCTTTAAAGTTCAGATGATCTGATGATAATAATATCAGATGCAATGAGGTAACAACAGGTGTTCAATAAATGTGTTCCTGTAGTTTTCTAAGCATATCTATTTTATAGCACCTGTTCTGCTGCATTCGAATTGTTTATTTTCTAGCCTGTCTCCCAAATAGACTTTGAAATTTCTTAGGGAAACAAGATTATATTATATATTTTTGTATTCTTGGTGGCCAGCAGAGTAAAGAGAGTGGATGTTCAAATAATTGTGGAATGAAAGAAGGGATTGATATCATCGTGGCTGAGGAATGAAAGAAGGATGACTTGCCTCTCTGGTTAGGAAGCCAGAAGTAACATTGGTTAACAGGGGGAGAGCGACGCTGAACAAATCACGAACCAAGTAAATAAGTAATTATTAACTGAAATAAATCCTGTGAAGAGAACATATAATGATAGAATGCCTGAGTTTTTTTGGGGAAACACCGGCAAACGCCTGTTATCTCTTATAGCTTGTCCGAATAACTAAGTTCTGGCCGACGGGATATGAACAGAACTGACTTTTACCGTTTCTGGAGCGTGTCCTGAAGAGAAGTCTTTCCTCTGGCCCTTTCCTATTTCCTGCTGGAAGATGATGAGAACTGAAATGGCAGCCTTGGACCTCAAGATGGAAGCTGCATTTTGAGGATGACAGAATCTCCTTATAGCTTTGAACTAATGTGACAGAGAAAATGAACTCCCACCTTGTTTCAGCTGTTGTTTCTTTGGATCTCTTTGTTATTGCAGCTGAAAGAATGCGGGGAACTCTGAAAGAGGTAAGAGGGGAGCCCAATTTAAACGGGAGTGGAGGGGCAAGGAAATCGTCTCCAGCGAGGCAGTCTCTACGAAGTGGGATGATGAAAGAGAGTGCTCAGGGCGGAAGGAACAGCATGTATGCTGTCCCCAAAGTGGGAAAGGACTTGATACATCTGAAGAACAGAATGAATGAATGAGAAGCCTAGGAGAGAGTCTGGAAGTCAAGATCACAGTGATCTTGAAATAGGAAGTCTCCAAAGTGTTTTAAGTACTGAGGTAATACTGCCTGATTTCTTTTTTTTTCTTTTCTTTTCTTTTTTTTTTTTTTTGGCGGTACGTGGGCCTCTCACTGCTGTGGCCTCTCCCGTTGCAGAGCACAGGCTTCGGACGCGCAGGCTCAGCGGCCATGGCTCACGGGCACAGCTGCTCCGCGGCATGTGGGATCTTCCCGGACCGGGGCACGAACCCATGTCCCCTGCATCGGCAGGCGGACTCTCAACCACTGCGCCACCAGGGAAGCCCCTGGCCTGCATTTCTTTTTCCAAAAGGTCCCTCTGACTCTGTTGGAGGGTTTGAGTGATGGAGGAGGTCACTTAACCTCAGCCGCAGATGATGGCAACCAGTACTAGGGGTAGGGCTGGGGGTGGAGAGAAGTGATGGTTTTGAGTAATATTTTGAAGGTAGAATTACCAGGTCTCTTTGAAGTGCAAGATGTATGTCACTGAGAGGAAACATGCCTTCAAGATGATCCCCAAATTTTGAGAAGGAGGAGACTGGAGGAAGAAAAGTAGTGGCAGAGGAAGGCCAAATGTTTGGTTTCTTTTGAATGTGGTATGTTGGAAAGAGACAGAAAAATCAAATCCCATCATTCATTGCCAGTTATCAGCCGTGTGTAACTGGGAATGTTACCATTTTACAAATAAGAAAATAAGGTTTAGAGGTTAAGAAACATAAACTCAGCATTTTGAACTTAAAATCCATGGAGGTAACATGACTTAGTAGAAGGACCATGGGCTGTGGAGACAGATGCTCAGTTATATTGCTTCCTTATTGGGTGACCTTGACAAAGTCACTTAAATTCTTAGAACCTCAGCCTTCTCATGAAAAAAAAAAAAAAAACAAAAAACCAAAAACTTGTCATGGGGATTAAAAATGATAACTTTTTATAAAACCCCTAGAAAGGTGTGTGGCATACTGAGTGTACGCACGCTCTCGTACAGATAGCACATAAATCTAAAATCGCTCCAAGTGGTTTTCAGTTGAAACTTATACTGGGTGTTCAATTTGTGTAACGATCAGATCATTTAGTCCCATATATATATTTTTAAAGAAGATGTTGGGGGTAGGAGTTTATTAATTAATTAATTAATTTTTGCTGTGTTGAGTCTTCGTTTTTGTGCGAGGGCTTTCTCTAGTTGTGGCAAGTGGGGGCCACTCTTCATCACGGTGCGCGGGCCTCTCACTATCGCGGCCTCTCTTGTTGCGGAGCACAGGCTCCAGACGCCCAGGCTCAGTAATTGTGGCTCACGCACTTAGTTGCTACGCGGCAACTAGGGATCCTCCTAGACCAGGGCTCGAACCCGTGTCCCCTGCATTAGCAGGCAGATTCTCAACCACTGCGCCACCAGGGAAGCCCCCTAGTCCTATATTTTTATACAAAAACTCAGAAAGAGAGGAGGCTGAAAGACAAATCCAGGGCACTTTGCCTGGACCCCTATATTCATGTAATGACCCTTGTTCTCCCTTGGTCTGAATGCTCAGACTGAGGTGAGTCCCTAAAGGACGTTGAACTTGGACTTTGTGAATCATTGCTTAACGTATTCTGTTTTGCACTTTTCTAGAAGGTAAACGTGACCTCCTGGGAAGGTGATTATCACGCTCTAATAGTGAGATCGGAATCCAACTTCTACAGATGTCATCACTTTTTAGATTTTTCATTTCTCGTAACTCCACCCAGCCTCTTGGCATCTGGGAACATTTATTCAGTGGTCTGCGCCTAAAGCAAGAATACTACTTTCAGAGTAAAACGACGGAATAATTAACAAGGGTACCTTCTCCAGGTGAAATTTGGCCAAGGTGTTAGCATTGGTACTCAGCAAAATGCCTAAGGTATATCATAGGTGTTTGATGAAAGTACTTGATCATCACTGTGAGTTTAAAATTCATTCAGTGACCTGGAAATTCTGAGGGTTTCTAAAAAAGATTTTTTTTTCGGTCACCTCAGGGTGTGTTGGATTGTGCATAATGGATTCCCTCTATAGAATTACCCACAGGCAATGTCCTCCATTGACAGGGGAAGTGGGGCTGGACCCTGAGTTAGCTGGACATATATTTGGAGCTTGGTGAGAGAGCCTGTCCCCTTGGCACTTCAGGAAGTTGAGGGGATAGTGTATAGCTTAGATTGAAATTTTCAGAAGCTCAACACAAGGAAGGTGGCGTGGTGGGAATTTGCCTGTCTGGTGTGTAATTTGATCCGACTGGGAAACGGGTTTGCCTTTAACAGAGTTTTGTCTCTATCAGGTTACTATTATGAGTTCCCTCAACATCTCCTTAGGCATCATTCTTGCACCTGTTGATGGCGGGGGTTGAGTTTTTCAATAGACCACGCACTACTTCTACGTCTCATTTCTCATGTTGGGTTTCAGCAATTCTCATGCAGAAACACTGATATTCTATACCCATAACTATGCATCGTTACTGGAGGAGTGAGACACAAGGAGCAGAAAACTGTTTGCTCTTTGTTACTTTAAGTTTTTTAGAAGAGTAGCTGAACAAATTGAGAGAAATGGGAAGGAAACTAAACTGTACTGAAGAGAAATGCTGTTCTTTTATCCTTTGGACTTTTTTTTTGCACAAGTGGCTCATCCGTAGGTTGAAATAATTATGAAACTTGGAATTTATCCAGTTCTGTAGTGGGTAATTACAAAATTGCTCTGTTTAATTATGCAGTATTTTATAGGAGGGCATTTTTAACCTTTGTCACTAGCGCCAAATGGAAGGCGACACAGCTCTTCATAATAAGTATCATAATTCTGATTGCATCTAAGGTTTACTTAGAAGCGGTTCATTTTTAAAGACACGCTCTAATTTGTGTAATTTTTTTTAGTAGGTAAAAACTGCTGAAGTGAATTGTTTTGTGGTAACAAAAGTAAAACAAGAATAACTGCTTGTTAAGAGTCTGCTCCACTACTCCAATATCCCGAGTCCATCTCTGGTGAACATGGACACAGCGGGTTCATTTCTGAAACATGAAGCAAAGCTTATATAATCAAGTGGCTCATTAGAGAAGATCAGAGGATTTCAAAGTACACTTTAAAGACTAAAACTAATGTCCTGTATTTAAAGAGGAGATCAAAGTTGACACCACATCCAGAAGATCCTTTGCAAAACATCACTCTTCTGTGTTATTATCAGAAGTGACTTTCGCTGACCTTCGCTGTAAATCTATGTAGGTACTAATGACAGGTTAAACAGTTAAACGACCACATTTATTCATTCAACATGATTATTGAGTGATTTACATGCAAGGCAATGTAAATCCAATGCTGCCTATAGTGTCTTTTTCGATTCTTTCGTCTTTAAAATGCAACTACTAAGGTAGCACTCTCAAAAAAAAGTGTCATAATATCTTGTATGTTATGTCTTGGGGGTGGGGTAGTTTAAAAGAATTAGTAGAAGTAGAAAATATATCAACATTTATAAAAGTTTAAAAATATGAATTTAACTCAGTTCAAACATTTTTGAATACCTCATACATAAGGTACAGGGCTCAACAGAGTGGGTTCTACCATGAAGAGTAAGACATGGTCTCTGTCCTTGAAAAGCCTTTGGACCAATGGGCGAGAGAATATATACAGGTGGATGACATTGCAGGAGCCGTAAGAAAGGGGCAGACAGGTGCTCTGTGGACACAGAGGTGAGGCATTCCTCTGTTCAGGGCCTTAAGGAGGGAGTTGGAGTCAGACCATGATGAGTAGGTTTTGAAGCATGTATTATGAAGGAAGAGCCTTTTCCCTGGACAACACTGTGGATGAAAGCTGGAGGTTGGGGTAGTGTGATGAGTGTTTACTGAACAGAAAGCATTTCAGTTTAGCTGGTGCTCAGTGATGCCTGAGGGGCATCACTTCATCAGCGGAGGAAGAGTGGAACAATGAGACGGGAAGTTTAAACGAGCTGAAAGGGTGTTATTTTAGGTATTGGCTCACACGCTCATGGGGGCTGAGAAGTCCCGCGACGTGCCGTCTGCAAGTTGGAGAATGAGGGAAGCTGGTGCTGTGAGTCTCAGTCCTAGTCTGCCTGGGGCCTCAACGAATTGGGTGATACCCCCCCGTACCGGTGTGGATAATCTTTCCTCAGTCTACTGATTCAAACGTTCATCTTTTCCAGAAACACCCTCACAAGCACACCCAGAAATAGTGTTTCACCAGCTATCTGGGTATCCCTTAGTGCAGTCAAGTTGACCCATAAGATGAACCATCGCAGAAAGTAAAGTCCCGAGTTGACAGTCCTGCTTATTAGCCATGTGAATTTGGATGTCACTTACCATTCAGAATCTTAGATTTCTCATTTCTAAAAGGATATCAAATGAATTTCGGTCTGCATTGTCAGAATAAATAGCTTACACCACAAAGATAAACCTGGAAATCTCAGTGATTTTAAAGCAATGAAAATCGAGTGTCTCCTAACATCCCAGTCCATTTGGTTTTGGGGGGTGGCGGTGAGGCAGTGTGGGGTAGGGGATGACTTTCAGGCACTCCATCCTGGGATGCTGTCATCCTTAACCTATGATCCCCAAGTTTGCCACAGAAGGGAAGAGAGAGGAAGAGAGTGTGGGAGATCTCTTAGGGACCAGGCCTATACAAAACCCAAATCTGTTCACATTCCATTGGCCAGAACTAGTCACATGGCTCCACCTAGATATTTGGAGCTTAGAAATCAAGTCTTTTGTGTGCCAAGGGGAAAAAGGAAATGTTTGGGGGGAACACACAACAGTGCTCTGTGAATCTCCATTGTTGTCATGGAGTTAGTATACGTGAAAAGGCTCGGGTAATGTACATGAAATGCTATATGCAAAAGGGCTGGTGTCATGTAAATCACTCCTTGATATGTTTGTTTTTTAAGACTGCAAAGATAGATTGGGGCCAAGACAGTGAGGTCCCTAAATTATTGTCAGTTAAGGAATTTATAGTTTACTCCATGGGTTATGGGGTGGAACTAAAAGCTTTTGAAGAGGGGGGTTACTTAAATAAATTTGTGCATTGGGAAGATTGAACAGCTGTCTTTCGGCTGGAGATTTTGGGAAAACTGTAGACAGTAGTCTCTTTCAGTTGTTGAGGAGCTATAGGGCCTGGACTAGGGCAGAGCAGAGGTGACGTAAGGGGAGGGAGAAGCCTGCCAGTGGACTGTGGCATTTTATTAGTCTTTGTACCTGTGGTGTCTTCCACAGAACCTGTGCTGTAATATATGTTAAATAAACATTTCTGAATGAATCAATCAAGACTCGAATGGATGAGTTAACGAATTTCATTCTATAGAACGGTTAGTTTTGTATATGACTGTCGTCTCATATAGATAATAAATTCATTGAGGCTGGGAATCCTTTGTTTTCATCTTTCTGTAGGAAAGGTCTCGATGTGAGTCTAATAAGCACTAACAATTAAGGGATGTGTGTGGCAGAGTCCTCATACGTGAAATTGATGAAGAGACTTTGCAGCTGAGGATTATCCTGGCTACACCAAGATGTAACAAAGAAACGAAGGAACAAAGCCCATGAACCCAGGAGACCTGGAAGTTACTCAGACATAAGGACAGGTAAGTCACCTGTGTGGTTTCACATCTTTTATTGATTTCACCATAAATTTCTGACTTCTCTGCATGACATTTAACATGACAGAATTTTACTTTGCTAAAATCCAGAGGATTTATGAAATAAGCACTACTTGCTATAAGAAGCCCAAAGAGCCCAAATAAATGAATATTGTAAAACTGTCAAATAGTTTACTAAAGAAAAACTATAATGACAAACGTGTTTGCTTTTCAATTTAAATGAAACATCTGTATAAGCAGAATATTGTCTATGTTTACTACATTGTTTTGTTTAACTCTCATTTTTTATACACTCAGGATTTCAGTAATTTCATCATTGCTTCTGACAAACCATTTAAACATTTCTTTTACATTTCTCTGTTTTTCTAATGAACTTTTATATCCATTTGAATTAACTGGATTGGTGATAGAGCAGTTCATAGAAATCAACAAATGTACTTAAAATTGTATGATATAGTTATCATATCAATTTCAAGGTGAAAAATTTATTTATGGATTCAATAAATATTGACTGGAGGTCTTCCATATGATAGTTCTACACTAGGGGTGAGGGATTCAGGCGTGACTTTACAGACAGAAGAAAGCCAGCAAATTGAATCTTTGCTCTTCAATAGATCGAAGCTGATGATGACAGAATCTTCCAAATATTTTTGGTCAAGAGAGCTTTTCAATGTGGGAAATATCAATTTTCCCTACAACTTTAAGGAAATGATATTTACCTTTATATTGTGGTGTGTGCTTGGAACAATGATTAATCCATTATTTCAGCTGTAAAATGTCTAAAAATCAGAGGGCTATCAACTTTGTCATCGTAGAGGGCTATCTACTTGGTTTTCTAATCCTCTTAGTTTTAGAGTTGAAAGAACCTGCATAGGTGTTTTCAAAACGGATGTATATGATACAGATACACACATATAATACACACAGTATTTTATATATATTGTATATTTTTCACAGTAAAATAATGTAAGTATACTATGCTCTATTTTCAACGACCTAGAAACTCTAAGTGCATTCTTTGGCAAAGTATATAGCATCTGAATTGTACGGGGTAGATCACAACTTGCTGTGTTCGGTTGTGATATATTGACATATACTATATATATTTAGTACTATGTGAATTGATCTTGGAACAGGTTAATTAACTTGAGCGATTAATAGAATGATTTGTTAATTTGTAGGTCATTAGAGCAGAGAACAGATGCACATCAGCCTTTATGAAATTTTAATTTTTTTAGGTCATGAGGGTTTAGGACCACAGAATCCTAACCCCATGGACACATTTTAAAAGAAAATTTGACCAAAGATTAATTTTATTCAATTATAATTTTTGTGTGTTTGCTTATAAGGCTATAGTGATTTTTAAATGGATTAGACAAACATTACTCATATCAGCAGGAAGAGAAAAATCATTCTGGGAAATGTTTAATTGGCGTTCCCTAAACAAAGGACATTGGATCAGATTAGCTTGGGCTAGGCTGTGTGCTAAGTCTTCCCTTTGGTTATTCAAAATATGTATTGCCATGTTAAAGTATTGGGGATGCTTCAGTGGAAAAAAAACCCGATTGAACTTTGCTTGCAGTTAACAAACTAACTTAATTGTGCAAGGAAAGTCTATTTTTCTTGGAACACCAATTAACACTACACAGAACAGTTTTTCTTTAACATCAGTTTAGGAAGTACTGTGTTAGCTAATTCAAAGACTGTGCTTAATATTATTAAAAATTTCAACTTGAAATGAACCCTAAGCCCAAACTGAATGCATTGATTTAGTTTCATGACTGTGTGTAAAACCCTTGATGATAATCTGGCCAACCTGCTCTACTTGGGTTTTCCTAAATGCGTTGTATGTTATGCTTTCTTGCTTGTCCATGGTGCCCTTCACTTTGTCTTCTAGAATGTCCTTGTGGTTAAATTACACGAAGCCTGCCTGTCTTAGCTCAAATGGGTGTCAGGACCCACAAAATAGTTCTACGACCCCTTCTAAATGTCGAGAACTGTGAAGGTTCCTAGATTTTACCCTTTCAGGCTAACATTTCAGCCCAGTGCAGTGTCGTGGATGCTGGGAGAAGACACGACACTCCTGGGTAAGAGACAAAGGACTTTACTACTCCCCGCAGAGCAAGCAGCACGAGCTCCATGCCTGTGTCAGCTCCTTTTGTACCCAAAGTCACAGGGATGGCACAGAGCGTCCTGGACGCTGCACATGGACTGGGTTTGCTTCACAGCTGAGGAACCCTGAGCTTAGGAAACCCCAGTCTTTCGTAATAAATGGACTGTAAGGGAACTTGCCTGATTTTTGCCCAGGAGGGAGACAAGATTTTTATTATTCTGCACAATGAGCATTTTTTTAACTTTTTATTTTATATTGGAGTAGAGCCAATTAACAATGTTGTGATAGTTTCAGGTGAACAGCAAAGTGACCCAGCCATATATACACATGTACCCATTCTTCCCTGAACTCCCCTCCCACCCAGGCTGCCACATAACATTGAGCAAAGTTCCCTGTGCTGTACAGTAGGTCCTCATTGGTTATCCATTTAAAATATATTAGTGTGTACGTGTCAATCCCAAACTCCCTAACTATCCCTTTCCCCCATCTTTCCGCCACTGGTAACCATAATTTTGTTTTCTATGTCTGTGGGTCTGTTTCTGTTTTGTATGTAAGTTCATTTGTACCATTTCTTTTTAGATTCCGCATATAAGCGATATCATATGATATTTCTCCTTCTCTGGCTAACTTACTTCACTCAGTATGACAGTCTCTAGGTCCATCCATGTTGCTGCAAGTGGCATTATTTCATTCTTTTTAATGGCTGAGTAATATTCCATCATATATATATATATGGTATATATATGGTATATATATATACCACATCTTCTTTATCCATTCCTCTGTCGATGGACATTTAGGTGGCTTCCATGTCTTGGCTATGGTAAATAGTGCTGCTGTGAACATTGAGGTGCATGTATCCTTTTGGACCATGTTTTCCTCCAGATGCATGCCCAGGAGTGGAATTGCAGGGTCATATGGTAGTTCTATTTTTAATTTTTTAAGGAACCTCCATACTGTTCTCCGTAGTGGCTGCACCAATGTACATTCCCATAAACAGTGTAGGAGGGTCCCCTTCTCTTCACACCCTCTCCAGCATTTATTGTTTGTGGATTTTTTGATGGTGGCCATTCTTACTAGTGTGAGGTGATATCTCATTGTAGTTTTGATTTGCATTTCTCTAATAATTAGCAATGGTGAACATCTTTCATGTGCAAAACATTTCTTCCCCGTGTTCTAGCAGAAGACACCATTTCTATCTTCTGAGGCTGTTAGCTGTACAAACATTCCTGAAAGAAGAAAAGGCTGTCAGCACCTCTATGCAGAAGATGTGCAGAAATGAGAAAGACCCAGGCAGTGTTGTCTCCCGGCACTAAAACCCATATCACCAGTTGTGTGCTGTTCCTTGAATTCCTGTAACAACCTGTATGTTCTATGATCACAGCACTTCTTGAATTGCTCTAAGCCTTGCTTGTCTGGAGAGGCCGTGTCCTTACTAACATATTTACCATATCCAGCTGGGTACCAGGTACAGAGTAGACATTTGGCAAAGTTTATGAGATATAGGCTTTAAAGATTTTTTACTATCCTTTAAATATTTTCTGGATTGGTTTTCAAGTTTATTGCCCCAACTACCCTGGGAGGAGGGACAGAAGGTCTCAAATGGCTTTAATCACTGGGGGGAAGTTTTCCTTTAATAGGAAAGTGCTAGCAGCTGCAGCAGATAGCTTAGCAATCAATGGCTGTGAAGATAGAGCAGGGCCAGAGCAACTGGAGTGCTAGTGGCCAAGCAACAAGAGTGTTGAGATGGTGGTGGCAGTCAACCACATGTCAGGGACAGAGCCACAATCCCCAACAGCAGATGTGTAAGACTTTAGGCCATGCAGCATCTGGATAGGATTTTAAAAGATGTTTAGGAGGTTTCTGGTCACAAAAATGGAAAGGAGAAATAGAATAGCATGTGAGAGACAGAAATGTATGTTTGGGGAGCACCCAAGTAATTATATATACTTTCAATTTATAATAACTTAATTGTATATACATATTTTAAGTAAATTTATATATATAAAGAGATGAAGAGTTGGGGGAGATTCGACCAGACTACTGCCCATCAGGTCAAGAATCCAGTGAAGGGTCATCTTGTGTTCCCCCAGTGACCCCAGAGTGATCCCATGTTTGATCTGGACTCTCACTTATTTCTCCCCCCACCCCCAATAAACACAGATCTAAGAGAACACTGGCTCATTGGTGATGGATTGAAAGCTGAGCTATTTTGCCAGGTGGTTTTCAAAAGTAAACACTCTGCAGATTTCAAGAAACTTTTTTCTCTTTGTAAATGCTTCTTGAGGTAAATAGTTTCCAGAAATGGAGGTGGGGGAATGGCATTGATCAGAGAGGTGGGAGTTGTTTTTCCTTTCAGGAGTTCTGGAGTGGTTATCATCTATTTGGCTTTTGTCCCATATCTTGCCTTGAATGGCCATTGCCTTATCGACTCTTTGCTGGTATCATTTGCGTACATTTTCAGGTGCCTCATTAAACATTTCTGGGCGGCTGACATCCTTTGTCAATACACACTTTTATTATTGAGTACCCACAGATAATTTGGTAATGTGTTAGGGGCTTGGGTTTAGTACTGGAAATGCTCCCATGATCTCCTTATCCAATCAAAGGAGAATAAGTGCAAGAATCATGAGTATGCGCTGGGAACGAGAGTTGGTTTATACGATTCTTTGTGTTGATTCTGGAATAATCAGTTGATTTAAGCAGACAGTATGGGTCTTCATTGCCTGGAACTCAGTGCACTAGAAAAGAAACAGCATAGTGAGTGAGTGAGAGAGAGAGAGAGAGAGAGAGAGAGAGAGAGAGAGAGAGAGAGTGTGTGTGTGTGTATTAGTCTGTCGGTTTGTGTTTTACCAATAGAGTACACTTAATAGAACTTCACTGTACTCGTATGTTCTTATTTTCATTACCAAACATCCTTCCATTTTTGTTTTGTTCTCTTTATCTCAACTTAAATTAAGAGAAAGCAAGAGAGTTTGAGATAATGTTCAGTTAATGTCTACATCTTGAAACATATTTCACTTTTCTCTGGTTGTCTAATGATTAGGTTACAGTAATTACATTCAGGCGTTTTTGAGCCAGAGATAGAAGTGAGCTGTGTGTTTAGTTGCAGGCTGTCTGTATTACTTTGCAGTCTTCTTCAATATATTCTGACTGCAGTCACTTTCGTCTAATGGTAAGTCACAGAAAACCAATAACATCCTCAAGAAAAGGGTTAATGACATTTCCTTCTCCTCTGGGGCCCTTAAGATTTTGCTGAATCTCTTTCCAGGACTGGTTAAATCCTATTAATGTCAAAGTAAAAGCAGAATATGCTGCACCCGTCGGCACTCACCCTGTCTCTGGTCATGGGTGATGGCAAGTACCGTATTTCCTTCTAGAACTCATCTGAGCAGCCTTTGAAATCTAGTCCCATCAAATCCTGGATTTAACCAAAGGAGGGATGTCCCTGTCAACGCTGCCCAGTGAATAATCAAATCCAACCTGCAATTGTTCAGGTTGCCAAACATTTCTGTGGTTGAGTCATGGGGAGATTTCCCCCCTTTGAATTAAAATGGGGAGTAGGGGTGGGCAAATAAAGCCAGACAGAGAGACAGAGACAGAGAGAGTGAGTGAGTGCAGGAATTCTTTACAAGTACAAATTTTATAGGTAAGATACCTCCCTCCGTTCCTGCCAAGAAAACAAAAGGGCAATACCTGGACAAAGGAGGAGCTGTATCTTTCCAAAAGGTTTTGAGAATAAATAAAACATATACTTCACTCCATTCCTTTTCCTGTTTTATTAATTGCCCTAGAGCAACGCTTCTCAAACTTTTATGAGCACAGACATTACCTGGGGATGTTGTTAAGCAGTAGCTTCTTGTTCAGTAAGTCTGGGATGAGGCCTGAGATTGTGCATTTCTAACAACTCCTAGGTGATACTGATGCCCTGGGCCACACTTGGAGTAAAAGCCAGAGCAGGAGTTCTCAAAGTGTGGTCTCTTGACCAGCAGCATCACCTAGAAACCTGTTAGAAATGGGAATTCTGGGGGCCCAGCTCAGACTGACTACAGTGGGTAGAATGCCCCCCCTAGATGTCTACCCTCTTATCCAAGGATCCTGTGACTGTATTACACACAAAAGGAAGTTTGCAGATGTAATTAAGGTTTATGGACTTTTAAGATAGGGAGATGATTCTGGATTATCCAGGGGGCCCAGTCTAATCACAATGCGTCCTTAAAAGTAGAGAACTTTCTCTGGCTGGAGTCAGAGAGATGCAGCAGAAGGGAAACTTACAGAGATTCAAAGCATGAGAGAGACTGGCCTTGCTGGAAGGGGCCACACGGAAAGCATGGGAAGGAGTGCAGGCCGCCCCTACAGGCCAAGCTTGGCCCTTGACTGAGAGGCAGCAAGGAAAGGGGGACCTCAGTCCTACAACCACAAGGAACTGAATTAGGCCAACAACCTGAATGAGAGCAGAAGCCGATTCTTCCCCAGAGACTCCAGGAAGGAAGGCAGCCCTGTCAGCCCCTTTGATTTCAGCCCCAGGAGACTCTAAGCAGAGGACCCACTTGAGCTGTGCTGTATCTGAACTTCTGACCCACAGAACGGTGAGATAACGCAATTGTGTTTTGAAGCTACCCAGTTTGTGATGATTTGTTACAGCAGCAGTAGGAAACTAACACACTGACTGAATCAGAAGCTCCGAGTGGGGGCCCACGATCTGCTTTAACAAGCTCTGCAGTCATTCTGATGCAGGGTGTGGAAAGATCATTCTCTAGAACATGCACAGAGCCCAACATAAATGGGGTTCTGCCACGTAACAGCTGTTGCAGCACTGCCCAGTCTCACTAACATCCCTAATCTTTCATTTTTTCCTTTGAAACATGGGGTTAATAAAACAGTGTTGATGTGAGAAATTTGATCTAAATCTCTGGTAGAATATTTCACAGTTCTTATCATAGTAGGTCCTCAAATGTTACCTCCTTTCCTTCCTTCCATTTCCTCCCATGGACACACTAAATGCAAACAGTACTGATGATTCTGATGTCAGCTTTCTGAGGCTTAGGGCTTGGAACTTGACCTTGATTGTCATTGTGTAATATGATCTGGAAAGGAAAAACAAAATCACAGGAAGGAGATGCAGGTCTAAGATGCAGTTGCCCTGCTCAGCTTCATTGCTACTCTTCAAAAAAGAGAACAATGAAGATGTTTCCCTTGTTTTTAGAAAAAACAATTCAGCACTATGTAAGTCTAGATATAGAACATTTGGTTCTAAACATGACCCTCTGATCATGGCACTAGAGTAAGTCAGTTCTTTACATCATGCAGTCTTTGTAGTGGGATCACAACTGCACAATATGTTTATATTCTGTACATTCTCAAGAATGCAGTGTACTAATTTGCTAGTCTGCCAGAGTGCTCTGATGCTCATTAATTTTAAAAGTTTCAAGTATATATATATATATATATATTTTCATTTGTGTCCACCCCTGAGCAGGAAATATTTGCTGATTCTTCCTCCTTTCTCCACTCTGCACGGTGAGCTGCTTCCTTGGATGATTACACGTTCTTCTTCTCCGTGATTGCTACAGCTCTGTCTTTCTGACCATCCATCACTGTGTGATGAAATTTGTTGATTGGGTTTATTTTGCAAATGATGCAGTTTGCAAAGTTCCAGGTTCATAGTCATTTTCCATTGCTGTCTAGAGAAGACTAAAACTCTCAATCAATCAACATTTCTAGATTAATTCTTCCCTCTCTGAGAAATAAAAAAAAGTCAATTAAGAGTTAAACTAGGCTTCCTGGCTTATGTATTTATTAATCAATCAACCTTCCGCATAATACTAATGTTTGTGGTACAATGTCCACATACCTATTTCTGTGTCTGCCAGCTTGAAAACAGTGCTGTGCTGAAGCAAGATTCTATCTGCTGTGAACATTTTTATAATGAGCTGCAGCCCTGGAAACATTGAAACCCATTTAAAAAGTGACCTGAATAATTTCTCAGAGAAAATTAACTGGGTGAAAGATCATGAATAAGAAGTAAATATATATTTAAATAGCATCAAGATGGCATTATTCTTTACTGTGCAGCTTTTGGTTTTACTCACATAAAACTGCATCTGGGTAATTTGGGGAGGCATTGGGGGGTTCCATGACTTCCTTTAAATATACTTAGAGCTCAAATCCCACATCCGCATCACATTTCCTATTGTTATGTGTGCTAAACACATAACACTCTTAGTGCCCAGAGAATGATGCTAAATCTCCTTTTGTGTTTCGCCTGTTGATTCTCTCCAACAATGGGGTGTACAACAGAGGTTAGTTTACCTGAAGTGTGGTCTTCAGACCGGAAGCATCAACTTCACCTGGATTCTAACATCACTTGTTAGAACGGCTGAATCTCAGATTGCAGATCTTCTGAATCAGAATCTGCATTTGAACAAAATCCTAGGCAATTTGTTTGTACCTTAGAAGGTGGGAACTGCTGGAGCAAAAAAGGGTCTGGGAGGTGGGATGTGGGGACCATGGAGTGTCAAGGACGGAGGTGGTGAAAGACAGTATTGGACAGAAGTGTGCTTCTCACCTGCTTGTTGTCAAGGCCTGGAGCGTTTGGGAAGAGTCTGCTGTGCTCTTTTTATCGTGGTGTTTGGTAGGATGCTAAATGGTTGAGTAGGTTTGGGGGTATAGTTTATAATTATGCGCTCACAGAGCAGATCTATGTGGCTTGCAGTCCACTTTCTAATGTAGCGTCTTCGAAATTTTAGCATGACTTTTTTTTTTTTTTTTTTCTTCTGCGGTACGCGGGCCTCTCACTGTTGTGGCCTCTCCCGTTGCGGAGCACAGGCTCTGGACGCGCAGGCTCAGCGGCCATGGCTCACGGGCCCAGCCGCTCTGCGGCATGTGGGATCCTCCCGGACCGGGGCACGAACCCGTGTCCCCTGCATCGGCAGGCGGACTCTCAACCACTGCGCCACCAGGGAAGCCCTAGCATGACTTTTGATGAGAAGCAGCGTGGATAATGGAAAGGCTAAGGGTTTTGTGGCTACCCAGAACTAGGTTTTAACACTAACCCTGATAATACTATTGATCGTGTCGATAGTTTCAGTATGTGTAAAATAGGCAAAATAGTAGTGCTGTCACTGATGGATTACATGAGATGATGCACGGGAAGCTCGAAGTTCGGTGACCAGAAACAAGTAGGCTTCTAACAAATATGTCTTTGTTTCTCCTTTTCTACTGACCATTCATTGGTCCACTGCATCCCTATTGTCACTGAGATATAAATATATGTATACAGCTCTATCTATCCGTGTATCTATCCATCCAACCATCTATCTGTCCACCATCTGTTTATCTATCCTTGTTCTTTTCTTTCTACCTATCTTTTCCTTCTGTCTTCTGGTATCAGTAATTACTTTCTGACTCAGCATCTGGCGTGCCCCCTCCAGCATCTCCGCTCCCTTTCCCACCTTGGCAAGTGAAGACATGGGGGTGAGTCAGGTCCTTGGGAAGAAGTGCTCCAAACAGCTGAGCTTGCAAGTTATTGATTGCTGTTGTAGTCTACATAACAAGCATTATGTGTGAGTTATGTCCTGCTTCATGGGCCACTAGTTTCTTTTTTCCAGAAGGTGACTGGCATTTCCCAGAGCCCAGAATTCCTTCTCACCTGTTCTTAGGGGTCCGCTGGCCAAGTGAGATGGGCTTCGATCTGGATTAGATGTTGCCATGCACATTTCTCTCCCAGCCTGTTCCCCATTCCCTACGTACTTCTGTAACAGTGCCGGGTGATCCCATCAATATGTGTAAGGAAGGTGAAAGTCAGTTTAGGCTTCTGCTGGCATTTGGGTTCTGCCAGTACTAGACTCCCCACTTCCTGAGGGTGTGGGAGGAATGAGGTGATCGCACACCTTACGCCGTGTCCTTACAGGGAAGACTCTTGAACCCAGGCGCGTGCAGGTGATCCGTGGTAGGACCCTGGCATTGAGAGAACGAGATTTTGATACTGAAGCGGATCTTTCAGTATGAACTGGAATTATTCCCCGCTGAGCCAAACTGCTCATTTATCTTGGACCTGACAAAAATCTGCTCCGGCATATGGTTTCCCCTTGGATAGGAAAAAGAAAGTCATTTTAATTGCTAGTTAAGACTGCTGGGTTACTTTAATTTGCAGGCTCTTTATTAACTGTGATCTATTTCATTTAAAGGAGCTATAAATGAGGTTTGGTGTGAGCCTCCCAATTATTAAATTTCACAGGCACCGTTAAGAGACTTGAGGTCACCCTTTTTGAGACTCCGAGCCACTTATGTTTAAGAACGTAGCAGACTTGAAGTGTAAGCAGAGTTTGCACACACAGTAGGTTCTTAATAAATGTTTGAAAACTAGAAAAGGAGGATGTCTATATGCTCATTCCCCATTTTCTTTCTTACACTTGTTCCCACCGGTGGGTCAGGGCGTCATTTCTCCTCATTAAATCTCTCAAGTTGAAACATATGGCAACAGTTGCTTAAAATATCTGCTGCAGGGGTTGAAAGCTGTGTTACTTACAGTGAGTTCATCCAGCCAATTTCCTTATTCTAGTTTGATTTAGATGAAGGCAAGTAGGAGTAGTAACAGCTTCAAATGGTATACCTACTGTGCCACAGAGACCGAAGGGTGCGGTTTAGCCTGTGGGATGTAAGTTCTATTAAACTGTTTAAGAAAAGAGTGGATGTTGATGGAAA